TATACCTTCTGACTCTGTTCCCTGTACAGAATCTCCACCACTACCATATTAGTGTTAGGTTTATATATTAGTCTTTATTAATTTTATCCTGAATTTCACATATGAGCTGTTGTGGAGCAGAGACAGATTTCTTTTCATTATCTTACAGTAAATATTGTTGCCTCCTCCTGCTTTGCCTAAAGACATCCCTAGCGCAACATGATGAATGTTGATGGAAATTTTCCTGCTCCAGTGACTGGGTACTCCATAGGCAAGAAATCAGAAAAAAATATTTTTCTCTGCTTATAAAGGAGAAGGAGGCAGCTTTCCTCTTCTCCTCTTCTTGGAAACATAACGGACCTGGATCTAACGCCAACTTCCTGAGGAGCCAGTTAGCTGTCCCATATGTCTCAGGTTTTACAACCTAGAAATTTCTCTAAAATCTGAACTTCATGTTTTTTGAAGTACAATTACCTAGAAAAATAGGCACTCCAGTCTTTCTGACAACTTGGAACTTAACCTATTAGCCCATTCTGGGCCTTAACCATTTGCCCTCTTAGATCAGAAAAATTTGAAAAAAAACAATGGCTACAGACCTAATTTGTATGGACTAGGAAAGTTCTTAGCAAGATTGAAGCTTTTAATAGGTGCACTGAGCAATCCTGGAAAGTGTATTTCCTCACGGTCTAAATGCACCTGTATTCACTCACCTACTCAATCTAAAAACTAGAAGTTCTCCTTGCTCCTTCCTTTCTCTTATCTACAGCATCTATTCAGTTACCGTTTCTTATATCTCTATCTTCTAAACATTTCTATACTGTATTCCTGCTTTTTTTTCCTTTTAGTACCTTGGATGTGGTTTACATCCTCAGTCTTTCACTAAATACTAGCAGTTGTCTCCAGTTGTCTCTCTAATTCCATTTTTGTCCTTCTCAAATGCACACTCTCTACAGTAGTCTCCCCCTTATCCATGAGAAGATATGTTCTAGACCCCCAGTGGATGGCTGAAACTAGATTAGATAGCCTACCCTACATATACTATGTTCTTTTCAGAACCTATGTTCATATTCACTATCTTCTTTCCTATACATATATACATATATATATGTATATATATATGATTACCAACTATCGCTCTTAGCCACCTCAGCATAAATTTTTTTTCATTTTGTTATTATTCATTTATTCACATGTGCATACATTGTTTGGGTCATTTTTCCCCTCTGCCCCTGCCCCCACTCTCTCCCCCCCACCCCCCTCCCTTCCAGGCAGAACCTGTTCTGTGCTTTTTTCCAGTTCCACTGAAGAGTAGAAATAAGCAATAATAAGAAAGACATAGCATTTTTGCTAGTTCAGATAAGGACAGCTATACAAAGATATTCCTAGCATTGCTTTCATGTACAAATGTGTTAAAACCCAGGTTGATTCATCTCTAACTGATCTTTACACTGGTTCCTGATCCCCTTCTCATGTTGACCTCTGTTGCTTTAAGGTTCTGTATTAATTTCTCTGAAGTGGGGACATCAAATGCTTTCATGTTTTGGGTTTTATACCTAACCCCATACCTCCCGTATATGTTCTCCCCTTGTCATGTAACCCAAGTCCTACAACATTGCTGTATTTGCCCTAGATCTAAAGACCACATATGAGGGAGAACATATGATTTTTGGTCTTCTGAGTCTGGCTAACTTCCCTCAGACTGATGTTCTCCAGTTGCATCCATTTGCTTGCAAATAATAAGATTTCATTTTTCTTCATGGCCGAGTAAAATTCCATTGTGTATAAATACCACATTTTCTTGATCCATTCCTCAGTAGTGGGGCATCTTGGTTGTTTCCATAACTTGTTTATTGTAAATAACTCAGCATAAAATTTTTTAAGTGTCCCTTTAAGTTGAGAGTTTTCACTTTTTTACTCAAAGGAAGCACTTTACAGCTTCTCTTTGTTTTGTCTGAGTTGCCAGCATTGCTACTCTTGCTCTTTGGGGTCATTGTGAAGTAAAATAGTCGAACCCAACTGTTGTGATATCATAGCTTTCAACCTGTAAACTGAGACAGCTACTAAGGCAATAATAGGAAGGTAGTATATATGACATGGATATGCTGAACAAAGGAACGATCTACATCCCAGTCAGAACAATGCATGATTTAAAATTTACAAGCTATTTATTTCTCTAATTTTCCAATTGTTATTTTCAGTCTGTGGTTTACTATAGGTAACTAAAACTGGAAACTGAAACAATGCATAAGGTAGAGACAATTGTTATTTTCAGTCTGTGGCTTACTATAGGTAATTAAAACTAGAAGCTGAAACAGTGCATAAGGTAGAGACTACTGTTTTTTAAGGAGATCTACAGTTTACCCACCTTATTAACTGATTTATTACATGTGGTTTAGATCAAGCATAGTCAAAACTAGTAATAAATAAATAAAAAGAACTTTCAAAAACAAAAACTTTAAATTGCCATGTATACATTACGCATCTCAGTCGATGCAAAGAAGCTCTTAGTGAGTCCTGCCATATCATCACTTGTGTTTAAATCCTGTGACCGGCTGTTTCCCTGCCCTTAATTTTGTAAAAATATGCCCCCAAAAAGCAAAGGGTGCCCAAAATGCAATGTAAAAGTTAATGAGCTCAATTTAAATGATAAAGGGGAAATTTTAGATTTGTTGAAAGAAAGCATTATGGGAAAAATGAATTAAGCGTCATCAGTACAGCAGTGAGCTCTATGCATCCTGAGCATGCCCGTGGGCTTTCCTCAATGGAACTCTCCCTGGAACCATATATGCACGGATATCAAGGATATACTGTATTTGAAACACACATATTCCTGTGCTACTCCCCTGTTTAAGTTGTTTTAGAGGTCCCTGATTGCCTACAAGAAATCACCCAAGCTTTTTATCAGCCTTTAGGTGAACTGTAAGAGATCTAGCCTCAAATTCTTCCTTAAAGCTGTAATATATTTCCAGATACTGAAAATGTCTCTGGATATGTTCTCTCCTTGTTCTTTATGTTCTAGAAATATGAGCCTGCTTGAAAATACTAATGCAAGCTATATGTCCTATGTCTCTGTACTTGTATTTTCCTCTTCTTAGACTGTTCTCTAACCCATTCTTACCTGACTAACTCATATCTATGCTTTAGAACTCTGTGATTACTATCTATCTTCTCCTGGAAGCCTATCCCAGGTTGTGCACACCAGTAGCACTTTCTAAATGATTTATGAACTTGACTTTTCCACTGTATGCTGCAAATCCATAAATAGGAGGGGCTATTTTCTATTCAGCTTTGCATTTCCAGTCTCTAGTGCAACTGCCAGTACACAATATAGGTAACCATCATTGTTTTTATAAGTAGCCATATCAGTTGCCTCCTGTCAAGTCCAAGTGGAGAGATGAGGCAAGATGAGGATTTGCTTGAATTTGGGAAAATTAAATGTATGAAAAAATACAGGAATACAAGAAGTATATACATACACAGTTGTAAAAACACACAAATACACATATGCAGATCTCAAGTGAAATATTAAAGATAGACTCAGTCTTCTGTATAGGCCAAGTAAATAATCCACCTAGTCAGTATGATTTCAAGGATATGAGAATAACCCACAGTAGAGGAATTACTTCCCTATCCACAGGCTGAATCCTAATATTTCATTTAAAGAACTCCATTATTTTGGTTCAAACACCTCGCCTTTCTCTACTGAATTGTAAATAACTATAGAAGAAGAATCATTTTGCAAAGTAACAGACTCAGAATTCATTTGAATGGTGTGCACCACCAGGATTTTATTGATAAATGTATCATACAGTACAGTTCTGGAGCACTTCTTCTGTATCACAGGCTTATGTCTGAACTTTAAAAGAGGACATCACTGATTTTTTTTCCAGTGATGTGACAGAATAGGGCTTAAATTCAGTGGGCAACATTGCTAAAAATAAGACACAGTTAAAAAACAGATATTCATAATTGGGCCCTGGGTTAGAGAAAAATCATTATTGTTGTTGCACAGATATACTATCATTTATATAGTACTTCATATTTTTATTAACGTGTTCACTTCTGAGATCACGGAATCTGGGCCAATAGCTATCTTAAATGTTTTTAGAGTATTTGCTTGTCCTAACCTCATATCATGTCCCACTACCCTCTTCATCCTGGATTATATACGAATTTACAGTTTTTACTCTGATTCTAGTGTTATTTTTCTTTTCTTTTCTTTTCATCTTTTTTTTTTTGGCAGTGATAGAAATATTGAACCCAGGGTTTCACACATGCTAGACAAGTGCTCTACCACTAAGCTGTACCTCCAATCCCATAGTTTTCTTTTTTGCTTGGGTTCAGTAACTTCTTGAAGGCAGAAACTATGCATTTTGCTTTTCTCTTAATCTCCTGTATCAAAAAAGACTACAGATTAAAGTTGACAACTAGCCTAGATGGCCTCAAGATACCTATTGTGGGTCTATTCATTTAAAGAAATGTATTCCTAAAATTCATACATCCATAATAGCTCAAAACATTTCTGCTGTTCTCAGAGAAGTCACAATGAGTAATGCAATGGGTAGTTTTCAAAAGTATTGACAATTTTCACTTAGCTTACTTTTCATACACTGTTTTATTCACTGTCAAACATTTTGACAGAATTAAGTGGTAATTATCAACTGGTTTAGTTGTCTAATTCAACAAAGCCTAAGTTCCTTTATTATGTTCCCATTGTGTTCTGGATGTCCATTAGTTATGGTGTATCTAAATCCTCACTAGCCATGCTAGGGTTTGTAATCTATACCTTGCAATTTTAGCTCTAGATTTCATGTTTGGCAGTCAGGTCATATAAATAAAATGTTCTTATCTTAATGAGAGGGCATCACTTATCTTGAAACCTTTCTCTTCTCCCAAAAATTGTTTTACAAACACAGTGGTTTCCTCATTAACAAAAAGACCTGGATGGTATTTCTTTATCATTTTATGACTATAAGTAAAGGAGATAGAAATTAAGCTGAGAGTTTCATAAACAAGTTCTGAGCACCCAGGATTAATTTTAAGAAGAATGCCACAAGCCAAATAAGCATTTCTTTTCATCTCATTTCACAGGCCTTCAAGAGGGAATTGAAAACTAAAGAACCTGTAATCATGAGTACTCTTGAGACTGTACGAGTATTTCTGACAGAACAGCCTTTGGAAGGACTGGAGAAAGTTTACCAGGAGCCCAGAGGTAATTGAATGTGGAACTGTAATAACATATTGATAGAAGGATCAGTGGTGACAGAGCAGCCATCCATTCTTGATACCAGGGTCTGGAAAGCTCTCATATTTTCTAAGTTAAACAGAATCAATTCAAATTAAACATAGATGTTGAAAACAAATGCAGAATTATAAAACACCATGCATAAATCTGTATGCACATTCAAAAATAAGAGATTAGTGATCAACTATTGGACCATTTAGAAAATAATAATAAACAAAGGAGTTTATCTCTGAGAAGAAATTCTGTTGTTACAAAGACTATAAGCTAATTTTCAATTGAAGAGCCTGACTGATATAAATTAGAGCTTATAGTGTACATTGAAATATTTTTCTTTTCAATAGTTCAAATGAATCTTGGGTTATCTGATAGAAGGTAGAACAGATTCACTTGGGAAGACAGACTTTAAATATGCTGGACTGTATCAAAATTTATGCCAAAGTGTAAAAGAGCCATTAATCAGTAGGTTAGCCTCTTGTTAATCTGTACTCTCTCTTCCAGTCTGATGTTTTCAAAAACGTTTTTTAAAAAAAAATGAATGTGGCCTAAAACTTTGTCATATTGCCAATTTAGAGCTGCCTCCTGAGGAGAGAGCCCAGAATGTCACTCGGCTCCTACGAAAGCAAGCTGAGGAGGTCAACACTGAGTGGGAAAAATTGAACCTGCATTCTGCTGACTGGCAGAGAAAAACAGATGAAGCCCTTGAGCAAATGCAAGAACTTCAAGAGGCTACAGATGAGCTAGACCTCAAGCTGCGCCAAGCTGAGGTGATCAAGGGATCCTGGCAGCCCGTGGGAGACCTCCTCATTGACTCTCTCCAAGATCACCTTGAAAAAGTCAAGGTACCATCTACCACTTTGCTCCAGAGCCCTGTGAGAGACCCCGGAGAGGTTGTTACCTAAATTTGTGGGTAGTCTTCATCCCACAAAGTTAAGTACAGAGAGGGCCCTTAAACAATAAAAACCAGTCCATCTTTTAGCAACTCAAAGTCTTCTTTCATATGGTAGTCTCCAAGAGAAGACAATGATATAATTATTTATTAATCTTCAATGATATAAAATGAAATATTAAAAAGTTACAGGCCCAAAAAATAATTTTGATTTTTCCACTAGGAAATTAATTTGTTTGTAGTAAAGTAGTCATCATAATGTATATGTTTTGACCTTTTTGCTAACTGAGATCTATGATGTAGGTAATTTATAGTACTGTGAAATTAGACCATCTAATCTACCCTTCCCTTAGAAGGCAGTGCATGTAGTACAATTCCTAGTTTCCTTAACCCACTGTAGACATGAGGAAAATCATCATATAGTTGGAATACTACTATCATAGTTAAATTCTCTTGTGGCACAAACTGATAAATATATCTATCAGGAAACAATATATTTAAGGCTATCATTTTGAAATCAGCAGCATGAAACATGGTTTTTTTGGTTATGTAATGTCAAAACCACAAAAAAACTCCTAGAATCAAAGTTTTTTAAAGTTCTTTTTCCCATGTACTTGGCATGTCTTTTTTGGAAGTTCTCTTCTTCTTTGCATTTTATGGCACTTTTGGTCCACATTCCCATTCTTCCTTTATTTCACTAAATTCTTAACCTCTACCTACCTTCAAATGTTGGTGTGCCCAAGTACTTAACCTTAGCTCAATTTTTTTTTGTATAAATGCTCCCAGTTATGAAATGACATGGATGGTGACAAATCTAAATCTTTAGTTTGGATCTCTCTTCTGATCTCCTATCCCATAAAATCTTAAGGTCACAAATTCAATGATTCCAAAACCAAGTCATTGGTTTCTGTTTTTTCATTCCCCAGTTGTTGTCTGCTTCAACCAACCCTTCTTGCTGTGTTTCCTATTTCAGTTAATAAAGCATGATCTACCAAGTTGCTCAGGCTAGAAAGTTCAGGTTCATCTTAAACCCTTCTACACTTCCACTGTCTGCATGCCATTGCTTGTTTAACCTCAAAAATATCTCTTCAATAATTGCTCTCCCTTTTCAACAGTGTTGTGTTCTAATCCTTAGTATTTTTTGCTTATATGATAGCTGAATACATATTTAAATTTTATTCCCTCATCAATGTGCCTACCATATCATAAAAACTGCATTTTAAACATTTAGTTAATGAGTGAACTGTGTCTTAATTAGTATTTCTGCATTATCAGCCCCAAACCCACATACAAACTCCTTGCAGAATGACTGCCTGGAGAATGAAATCCAATGAATGAAGAGGATAGGTATCCCTTTTCTTCCTAGCTCTGGCTTCATGTCTCAATTGTAGCTCCCATTCTCCAGGCCGTCCAATATACTCTACCCATACCAACCCTTTCCCCAAATATGTCATCTTTTTCATAACTGCTTGCCTTTGCAAGCATTCACTCAGTTAGAATCACCAAGCCTTATATACCTGGTGAAACCTTACTCAGCCCTCAATGCCCAATACAGATGTCACCAATTTTTGTAGTCTTCCCTAAATGCCCACCACAACCCTCCAATTGCTACTAAGCAGAAGATACTGTTTTAAAATTTTCACTTTATTACTTCTAAAATCTTGTATTTCAACATTCTATGAACTACGTCTAACATTTAAAGCAATAGTTAATGTTGCTGTCTGCCTGAAAATTAAAATAATGTTTTGAAATTTATTACCTTGTATTTGTACTTTTATCTAAAAATGTGGGGACTGATTTAATAAGTCTTCTCAAAAATTGAGAAATAAGTTTAGGAAGATGTCCTAAAGGAACTAAATTAGTTAATGAGTCAATCAAGTTGTTTAGTATATAGGCTATACAGCAGGCATAAAGTTTTTTTTTTTTAGCCATATCTGTCACACCAGGAGCATTTATAAGACACTGAGTATAAGTGGAGAATATATATAGCATGATTAAATAATTAAAAAAATAACTAAAAGTAGATTGGTTCAAATATTAGCCAACATCTCTCAAATCCTATTTACAGTGTTTATTTTAGTTTCCCCATTCTTGATCTTAAAACAAAGTTCATTTCATGCATCCTAATTGGTAAGACATTCATTTTGGCCCCAATAATGGAAAAATGTTAACTATAGCTTTCAAAACTACCCTGTAAATACCAACAGGTATACATAGTCTTAAATCATGGTACTTATATGAGTATTTATGTATTGGGGATAAACATGATTGTTTTCCTTTCTAAACCAATATAAGTATTGTATGCATATTTTAAAATGATAAATTACATTAATTCATACATATGTATTTCCCTTCAGTAGCTTTTCTTCAATTTTGCAGTGAAAATAAAGTAAATAATTTTTCTCCATTGCATCTTATTGACACAAAGCCTGAAACTCTGAAGCTTTGGTGGTAATAGTTTGGACCAGCAAATTAAGCTCATTAACTAAATTTATTTTGTTTTAAAGTACAGGCATGCTTACAACCACCATTTTCATTTTTCTACTTGGCAAGTTAAGCCCTTAGCAGCTCCATGTTGTAGGGAATTCCCAACTAAGAGTTAGCAGAATATTTTTTATCATCACATTAAAATATTTATTTAAAATAATATACTTAATAATGATTTATATCAATGAAGGAGATAATATTTCAGGGACAATATTTCACCAAGGTGTCATCTGCCATACTGATGCACAGCTTAACCATAGATTAGCTTCCATATTGAGTTGGTTTCTTTCCTTCTAATTTCTACTAAATTAAAAAAAATACAATTTTTAAAGTACTTTAAAATGCTTTAAATGCTTTTAAATACTCCAGGACAGGTGAAATAAAAGTGGCAAAAATTGATAACTATTTGTCCTACTTGGGTTATCCAATCTCAGATACTGAGGCAAGAGCTTGGTGAGTTACTATATTTGAGATGTGCTATGACTTAAATATAATTTATTTCCCATAGGTTTTTTTTTTTTTTTAGTTGTGCTGGGTGGGAGTACATTGTGGTATTTACAAAAGTTGTTAAAATGTATCAAGTATATCATACTTTAATTCACCCTCTCCACCATTCTCCTTTATTCCCCTCCCCTCATTTCTGGAATAGTTTCAACAGGTATCATTCTTCCATTTACATACATGTGTGCACAGTGTTTGCACCATATTCACCCTCCTACACCTTTTCCCAATATTCACTCTCCTACACCTTTTACCAGTCTCCTACCCCCTCTCACTGGTACTAACCCTACAGACAGGACCTGTTTTGCCTTCCTATTCTCTGATTTTATTTAAGAAAAATGACATTTTAACTTAAAAGGGAGTTTCCTTATGACATTTCCATGTATATATGTATTGTAACCCAAATTGGTTCATCTCTATTTTTCTTCATTCTACCTTAGTTCCTTTCTTATGGTGGTTTCATTCATTCATTCTTGTATAAAGAGTACATCAACCATATTCACCTTCTTAATTTCCTTCTTTTACCCTACCCTTCTCATATGTGACCTTCCCTTAATGTGACCTGTTGGCAGCAGAATATTTGATATACCCATGTCATTTAGTCACCCTGAGACTTTCCTAACCCTGTCCATTCTGAACTTACATGTTTAAGAAGTTATTATTCAAGTGACTATGGAATATGTGTTTCTGTGGATTTAGGATTATATCATTTCATTATGAAATTGCCTTTTCTATTTGGAGAATGGATAAGACAGCAACAACTAAGTCCCTGAACTCGATGGAAATACATTATTGCTAGCTAATCATCTTCAGGAAGATAAATATGGTAAATATGGCAAATCAAGAAAAAGAAACAAAATGTTAAAATTGACTACTTAGCTCATTAAAAGAATATCTGCCAAATATAGCTTCTACATGAATAACCACTAGAATATAATTTAAATTTTAAATGTTGCTTTACTTTTAAAATTCACAATTTATATTGCTTATCAAATATTTTAAGGACAGAATTATGATTTCTCAGCTTACTGGAAATAACAATACTTATTTGACTGCACAAATATTTTATTTTCCTTGTAATCAGAATGAAAAATAGCTCTGAATCACTAGTCTACATAAAGGCTTTCATAAAGCTGAATAGCATTTTTCTTTTTTCTTTTTCTCTATTTTGGTGCTAGGGCTTGAACCCAGTTCCTCTAACTACTACACTCCAACCTTTTATTTTATTTTTTTTAAGAAATGTAGTCTCACTGTGTTGCCCAAGCTAGCCTTGAACTCTAGACTCAAATGAACCTCCCATCTCAACCTCTTAAATAGGTGAGACAAATAAAGTAGAATAACTTTTGAACCCAAAATATGTAGATGATATTATAGTCCTTAAGAACAATCCCAATTGCATCTTAACCTTTTGGCTAAAATCAATCCCAATATGAAAATATTTGTTGGTTATTGTTATTCTCATCAAACATTTTTTCTCCACACAGAAAATGGTACATCATACTTGAGCCAGGGAATATTCCATTGCCTTTAGCTTACTTGTTCACTTCATTTATTTATTTATTTATTTATTTATTTATTCATCGTTCATTTATTCCTTTATTTTTCACTCGAGATTGAACCCAGGGCATCATTCATACTAAGCATAGGCTCTGTCACTAAAGTACACCCACAGCTGTGACCTTAAACAGTTTTTCATGCACCATTGTTAAACTGTCTCAGGCTTTCATCTTGGAATATGCAAATTTGTCACATTTACTTATTTATCCTTTTCTGGTTTTTTCTTTTCTTTTTTTGGTGGGACTGGGTTTGAACGCAGAGCTTCACACTTGCAAAGCAGGTGCTATACCTCTTAAACCATACCTCCAGTTGATTTTGTGGAGACAGGGTCTCATGTCTACACTATTTGTCCACATTGGCCTTGGACCTCAATCCTCCAGATCTCAGCCTCCCAAGTAGGTAGGACTTTAGGCATGAGCCACTGGAGCCCAAGTTATTGTTTATGCATTTTTATCAGAATGTGAGCTTACTTTTGTATTGAAAAAAAATCAAGACACAGATTTTGTAAATTTTTCTATAAAGCTTTCAATGAAATATTTTGATTAGACCTTTTAATTTG